ATTCTGTGGATCTGAACATGGGAGGTGTTGTACTGTGGGGTGAAGGGGATCCCAGCTGGGAAAGGATATTATTGTGCACTTTCTAACCCAAGGACAGTTCAGGGGTTGCTGAAGCACAAACCTTGAGATGGGAGAAGGAGCTGTCTGTGTCCCCCAGCACTGTGGAGAACCAGCATCACTCCTTTCCTGCATCCAGACAGGATCTCTGCACTGAGGGAGGGAGAGCAAAGTCAGTTTACATGGTTCAGCAGCATCATCGTTGCCAAGATACAAAACCATGTTGCTCTATTTATTGATTATTTAATTCTGTCATGCAGTCTATCCAGGTTTCAGAGTGCTGAAAGCAGGAACAAAGGGAGTTTGTGAGCCATGGGCCTCTTTGATTTAACAGCAACAATCTAATAGCAATCCCTTTGCTTGGAAAAATCCTAAAACTCCCCCTTTCAAAAGGAGCTGTGACACTGGTGCTTCTCCTGCCACATTTTGAGCCAGGGGGTCATGAATCCCCATGAATCTAAACAGGCAATAGGGGCAAGTGCATGCAGCCACTGTGGGCCACTCAAAATAGGCAGGCAGCAGCTCAGACATGACAAGAAGGGGTCCAGAAAAACCCTGTGCCAAACATCCATCAGCATCACACAGCACAAGCTCTACTTTCTCACAGTCCATCTCTGTTCCTCATGCAGCACCAGGACTTTGGCTTATGGGCTGCTCTTCCCACCTTCCATTTCCTAGACCCACAGAACCATAGAACAGGTTTGGCTGGGACAGAACCTTAAAGGATGTGTCATTCCAACCCCTGCCATGGGCAGGGACGCCTTCCATTAGACCATGTTTTTCAACCTGGCCTTGAACATTTCCAGGGATGGGGCAGCCACAGCTTCTCTGAGCAACCTGTGCCAGGGCCTCACCATCCTCACAGGGAAGAATTTCTTCCCATTATCCAATCTAACCTGACTTCTGGCAGGTTGAAGCTGTTTCCCCTTGTCCAAAGCCCCTCTCCAGCCCTCTGGAGCCCCTTTAGGCACTGGGGGACCTCAGAGCCTTCTCCAGGCTGAACACCCCTGCTCTGTCAGCCTGTCTCTGTAGCTGAGATGCTCTTTTTGTGATTTTTTTAGCCCTTTTTGAGATTTTTGTGGCCTTCTCTGGACTTGCTCCAACAGGTTCCCTTTGTCCCCTTCTCTCCCTCCTTCAGCCTCCCCACCTCACAAACAGCCCTCACCACAGAGATGGGACAACTTTCCCTCCTGCATCTGTTACTGCTGGATTCTACATCCCTCCCATCTCAGCTCCGTGGTTCCCCTCAGCAGAGGAGAAGGCTGGTGGGCAAGGTCTGGCCCTTCAGGCCGCCCTGGGCAGGGGCTGTGGGCTGAAGATCAGGGGTGGGAATAACCAACAGATTCTGCAAAGTCACAGCAGTGAGCTCTGCTGCCCCAGAGATGCACAGGCCAGGAATGCACAAGCAGGGCTGCAGCCTGGGATGTGTCCGAAGGAGATTCTCCTGTTGAAGGAAGGAGAAATTTGCTTTTGCATAAATATCCACAAAAATAGCTGAGGGGAAGCACAGCAAAATGAGTGGGAAAGCAAGCTGGAGTTTTTTCTGGCAGAGCCTGCTTTGCTGCCAGTCTGAGTCTCTCTTTTGAGCAGATATCAAAGGCTGCACCCACACCAGCTGCTGCTGGAGATCCTTCTCATTTAAAAAAAGGAGCTCTAACTATGGAGAGTAGCCACCTTCCCTATAAAGCATTGCAGGGTGAGAGACATCCTTCTCTGGACATACATTGTTGTACCCCACAATGATATTCCAGGGAATCTAGAGAGAGATTGGAGCCCAGTGACAGCTCTTTAAATAGTTAACAAACCTCCCTGGAAAGGGGAAAAAAAAAAAGGAAAATATAATTTTAAAAAAGAAAGACATATTTACAGTCTAACTTCTCAAGAAAAACTTGTGAAAACAGATGTAGCCTGAAAACAAACTGCTCAGCCTCAGGCAGAGTCTTCATCAGGGCAAGTCTCGAGCTTTGGAGCAGGGGCATCCCAAGGGCCCCACACAGCTTTGTTCTCTCTGCACTTGGGGTTTCTCCCACCTGCTGAATTGTCCCCAGCCCTGGTGACAATTTGGAGCAGGGAAAAGGCTTTGTGGCTGCTGTGGCTGTGGGCTTGGGGAGAGGGATTTCAGCTGGATGCTCACCCAAAACAAATGGCCCCCCCAAGCCGCAGCTCCATAAAGGGTAACCCAGTGTGTCCCCAGCTCAGCCCTTCCCACGGCATAAAACCATAAACCACAGAACACCCAGGGCTGGAAGGGACCCCCAGGCATCAGAGATGAGCTCCTGGCCTTGCAGAGAGCAACACCAGGAACCCCACCACGTGCCTGAGGGTGTTGTCCATCCAAACCTCAGTGAAAGTGTAAAAGCTGCTCCTTATTTTTTATGTTAGAAGTTGTAATTGATGGAGGGGTGAGTGTTGTTGGCTGAGGGAGAGAAAGGGAGATCTGGTTCTTGCAAAGCCAGATCTCTGCCCAGATTGACCAAGAGCCAAGGAGCTGCTTGGGGCAGAGCTCAGCCACCAGCTCATCCATTCCTCAGCCTTTTCCAGCACTTGATTTCAGCCAGCAGCAGCAGAGAGAATACTTGGTACATTAATAAATCCCATAATACTGAATAAAGCACTTTGGTTTATGGTTTTGCTGTAAGAACTCACCCCTGGATACTTATAATTAACTGAACTAGAAAAAAATAAGGATTTCCATTTTTTTTCTCACCAATTTACTTTTTCTTTTTTAAGAAGAAAACCACCACCGCTAATAAAAAACCATCTCCTGATATTTACCTGCTTGGGTAGGAATATTGATCTCTGCAGAGAGAAAGCACTTTCCTTATTGCACATCTCACTGTCTGATCCATCTTTCCTACAGAATATGGCCTTGGCTTTATTTTCAGAACAGCTCTGCAATTTATTGTTCTCCCAGGTCACACCTAACCCCATAACTCCTGGGAATTGTGGGGAGAGGATGTGGGAAGAGCTTTTTTCATCCTTCAGCAGACTTCACCTCTAACAGCAGGCAGCTGCCTGCACCGCTGCCCTGCTACACATCACAGCTGCCCTTTGCAAGAGCCAGGGGCCCAATTTTCACATCTTCTGTGCCTGTGTCTGTAGTAACAAAAGATCCCACAGGGCTGAGACATTCCAAATCCACCCAGTAAACTCTTCCAGATTATCATCCAAACCACATGGGTTTTAATTTTCCTTTATTAAAGCACACAAGTAGCCACCTAAATGTCATTTACACTGCGGCAGTTGTAAAAATCACACCAACACAACCACTCCCAGAGGGAATTACAGAGCCAGCACTAAAGCCACCCAGCTGACCATGAGCCTGTAACTCCAGAGGCACAGTACAAGAAAGTTTTGCTTTCAGGTGTTTGCTGCTCTTCTTATAACAAACTGCACTGAGCATCGGACAGAACGCCAAAACACATCCACTGCAAGGGCTGTGGAAATACCCAAAAGCTTGGTAAACACACATTTATTGAGTACTTGATTATGTAAGATTGTTGCAGCATAGTCATTATAACAAAATCCTTATTTAAAAAATGCCAAACACTGGTATATTTTCTTTCAGAGGACATAAATCTATTTAAAAAACCAGCCAAGAAGGACAAAGGGAGTGTGGCTGTTCCTTGGCCAGCCACTAATGAATGTTCTCCTGCTCCCTAAAGGTCAGAACAGCCTGGCAGTCAGTCCCAGCTCCAGCCCCAACCATTCCCAGACCCCATCCCACAGCTGGGGGCTGAGCAGACCCAAGGTCTCTCACTGCCCAGTGCTGTTACCACCCACAAACATCCCACCCAACCCAGTTTTCCAAAGGCATGGATGCAGCTTGCCAGCACCACAGTTCTCAAGGAGCTGTTCTTCACATGCCTGGGGTTTATATGGGATTTCCTGGTGAGGGCTCTGGGATTAACATCCCCTACAAAGTGCTTAAAGTGCCCAGATTCCCTCCTCCCTCCAGATTGGTATGGGGAAGTGCCAATTGCAAAGTTTGCTCTGGTACACATCCAGATTCCCAATCAAATGTTAATCAGCATCAAAATCCTCCCAGCTTGAGCAGTTTACAAGGGATCTGGGTCCTACACATGGAACACTGGAATTGCATCTATATTTTAAGCCCACCCATGAGAGAAACACTCTACATAGAAATATAACACCCAATTCTTTTGTACAGCATATAGAAAGAACATGACAGCATTAAAATATTGGCAAATCAATACATTAAAAATACAGAATCTCATAGATCAGAGCACAAGAAATATATCCACATTGGAATCTGTACAGTCCAGGTGACACTGCTGGTTCTCATGTTGGAATTGACCTCCCAATCTCCAAGGTGGAGGTTGGTGCTTTGCTCCCCCATCAGCACCACTGCCCAGATTTCCTGGGGCTGTTGTGCTACAGGGACAACCCCAGCCTGCTGCTCTCCCCAGCACAGAGGGCACTCAAGTGGTGAAACTCTTTGGGGAAGCTTTTGTTATCAAGTGAAATGACAGGACATTTCATTTTCCACAAAGCTCTGGCCTACTTTGGGAGAGGAAAATCAATCCATGGTTGGCAGGAGGGGTGGTACCCAGGCAGCATTTCCCACATGCTTTCAGCAGTGTGGGTCTCATTTCAGTTAAAAACATAAAACAAACCACAGAACCCCAGGTTTTGTATGGTTTGTACCCCACTTATCCCATGTGGAGCAGGTGGGACTTTTTTAGGTTGCCTCCTCCCACCAGGAATGTCCATGTCTTCTGGAAGAGCTGCCATTCTGACTTCTCCAAAATGGCTTTTCCTATACATAAATACATGTGTCTATAGGCCACTTCATTCTTTCCTCCTCTCACTGAGGAAGATGCCCAAGGCATGCTTGGTAAGGTGAAATCCTACCATGTATCTGCACCTATTCCACTAAGACATGTATATACAGACACATTCTGTCCATTACTACACTGGAAATACAGAGTTAAAAAAAAAAAAAAGTAGTAGCAGCATGTAAATGAGAAATTGTGTTCATTTCTTCAGTCTTTTTTCTTCCTCCTCTTCAGAGCTACACCATCAGCTCTGACAGTCCCTTCTCCCCACCCTTTTCCCCTCTGAGAGGGGGGGGTTCACTGCAGATCCCATCTGCAGGAGCTGGCGCTGTCCTTCCAAGGCAGTTTGAATTTCTCTTCCCGTCAGCTCCCTCCTCTCTCTCCCTGCATCCTTCCCTGCACTATGACTCATCCTGGAGATGATCTTGGGTTTTGTCTGATGGCTCCTGCCCACTTTGGCTGCAGCAAAGTCTGATTTCAGAGCGGTGGCACAGGAGGAAAACCCGCACACGAGCGCCTGGTGAGCCAGGCGAGCTGTTAACATCTCCACCCAGGGAGGAAAAAAGCAATGCAAGAGTTCACATTCTGTCTGTCTCCCAGCAGCAGCAGAAGTGTAAGCCCCAGGAGCAATGCCTATTTTAAACCCTTAATTCCCAAACTCTCAATAATGTTGCAAACCCCCAGGGTTTTGCAGGAATCAGCGGGCTGATTTCAAACACGTTCCTTAGTGCAGGATGCACTGGAAATTAAAAATGCATCAAGTGGGCTCACTTTCTCTGCGTGCTCTCGCAGTATCCGGTGTTCCCAACCCCCACAATTGTTTCCTTGGTTTCTCACCTCTCAGTTTTGGGGTCCTGCTAAAGGGCCGTTATCTGAGTCAGTTCTGACGTGGGGGTGGTCGGACTCTGCTGGGCGACAGCCACCATGGGGATTTCCATGCCTAGTCAGGCCGGATTGTTAGTCCCCTCCGAGTTCTTGCAGGCGTAGGCCACATCCTTGGCAATGCTGCACATCCTGTTGGACATCTGGAGCTCGGTCCTGAAGGCGGTGGGGAAGCAGAACTTCTTGAAGCACGCCTTGAAGTTCTCATCCAGGAAGGCGTAGAGCACGGGGTTCAGGCTGCTGTTGGCGTAGCCCAGCGCGGTGCAGAAGCAGGAGATGGCCAGCTCCAGCTCGCTCTCTGCTTTGGCTCCCAAGCACTGCACCAGCACGAAAATCTGGATGGGAGTCCAGCAAACGATGAAGACGGCCACCACCACCAGCACCATGCGCGTGATGCGCCGCAGGTTGCGGTCCTTCTCCTTGGAGCCCGAGAGGACGCGGACGTTCTTGAGCCGCCTGATCATGAGGCTGTAGCAAATGGTGATGATCAACACAGGGATCATAAAGGAGAAGAGAAAGACGCAGATGCCAAACACTGGATCCCAGTAGTCCACGGGAGAAGGGAGCTTAATTAGACAATCAATCTCTGCAAGAGTGAAAAAATAAAATGGGAAGGAAGGTCAGCAAGCACAGATCAAGCAGAAAAGCAACTGCACATTCGGATTAGTTTGGTTAGTTAGGTTAATGGTTGGACTTGATGATCTTAGAGGGCTTTCCCAACCTAACATAACAATTCTATGTTTAATGTTCAATTCCTCACATAACAATTCCATGTCTGACACTAGAAAAGCAACAGCAGTGATACAGAGAGGTAGGGGCAGAGTTAAGGTGATTTTACAGCAGAAGCTTCACCCCACAGATGAAACTGGCCCCCCTCTCCCTGGGCTCTCGTGTCCCTCCAGCTGGGTGCAGTTTTACTGACCGTTGTTCTCGTTCTCTGCAGATCCCATCACCATGGCTGGGATGCCAAAGACAGAAGCCAGTGCCCAGATGCAAACATTGACCACCTTGGCCTTGTGGGGCGTGCGGATGTCCAGGGCTTTGATGGGGTGGCAGATGGCGATGTAGCGGTCCACGCTCATCATGGTCAGCGTGAAGGTGCTGGTGAACATGTTGTAGTAGTCAATGGAGATGGCAATCTTGCACAGGACGTTGCCAAAGGGCCAGAAGCCCAGGAATGTGTCTGTTCCCTGGAAGGGCAAGGTCATCAGGCACAGGGTGTCAGCCAGGGCGAGGTTAAAGATGTAAATGTTGGTGGCTGTCTTCATCTTGGTGAATCTGAAAGGCAGGAAGGAGCAATGGTTAGAGTTCCCACTGACCATGATGGGTCAGACACTGAACTTTACCAAAGCAGATTCTGCTGATTTTGAAAGGAGATGCTGTATTTCCTTATGTAATGAGATTGGCCATCTTCACCTTTCAATCTTCCACAGGTTTACCAACACACAGTTCAGCCCATCTCCTACAACACCACAAATGGTCCCTCCACAGTCAGTTCCATGGGCAGGAGAATCATTCCCTCAGACTGCCAGCGAGCACCATGAAAGCCTGAGGCTATGAGATGGTGTTTCTTGAAAATTACTTCAATAAGGCCAACTTAGGGTTTCATTACCTATGGCTTCATTGTTAGAAGTATTGGTGAGAGCTTTAGCCAGTAAATGAAAGGTGCAGGGGCAAGTTGATCAGCCATTTGATATGGGCTCATAGCCAGAGAGCATGGCTAATGTGAGGTGCCAAATCAGAGCAGGCAAAATGGCCAGCCAAAAAATGGTGAGGAACTAGGTTTGAATCAGAAATCAGAATATCACAATGGATCTTTCTAGATAAAGAAGTAAAGTCACAAGTCAAACCCTAAAGACTCTTTTGTCATTTCAATATTACTTTTACCACACAGACTGCCTGCCCTGAAGGAAGAGTCACCTTGCTCTAATGGCAATCATCTCCTTTTCACACTTGGGAAATGATGCAGAGCCAGCTGTGATCACCTATCCGGGGGGACCTGCAGTGTCTGCAGAAATGGAAGCTCAACAGTGACTCTGTGACTGAATCTCACATTTCAGCTCCAGGATATTCCTCTTATGGGCAGGATAAGAGCTCAAATAGGTATAATTTTAAAACTACAGCTCATCTATCATTTACTCTACTAATGGCCTTAGCAGAAACACGGCCAAAAATGGCAGACAATGATGTTATTAACAGAGTGCAAGTTCATTTGAGGGTAACACTTCTACCCATAAACTGCTGCACTATTTTCAGCCTGATACGTGTTAAAATATTACAGGGCTGATTTGACTTAAAAATCTCTTTTTGCCAATTTGATACAGAACAGCAAACCCCCGACTTCCCTTCTCTGTTTTGTGCCCTCCCCTGAGCTTCTTCAGCTCTTGATAAATGATTTGAATGCTTGGCAGAACATTACCACTGGTGCTCTGAACTCTGCTGGGACACATGGTGACCTGGCCAGGTTTGCAAGAGAAGCAGACAGGGGCACCACGATCCAGACTGTAAAGTCTATGTTTTTACCTGCCCTGGAGCTCTAAGCTGGGCTTGTATCAGAAGTCTGAAAACAGCTTCAGAAAGCAAAACCAAATTGTCCTTTTTCTGACCCTGAAAGCCAAGGGAAGCTTTTGGAGGTGAGCACTGATGGAAACATTGTTGGAAGCACCTTGAGGTCCCCACACAAGCCTGAGTGAGGCTTTTCCTGGCCCAGAAATCAATCTCAAGTTCTTAGAAAGCCAACCCAGACAAACTTACATAACCAAAAGCAGTAGAAGGAAAACACTGGTGCCTTTCCTTTCGTGATGGGATGAATGAGCAAAAGCACTTTGCTTTTGCATAATAAATCCAACATAACCAGGCAGCTGCTGGTTTAAGCTCTGGGATTTCCTAAGGAGAATTACAGCAGCCTCCAGTGCCCTGAACTCCAGAGGAGCATCCCAGGGCGGCCAAGTTTTCCTTTCCTGAATTCTTGCACTTGGCCTAAACATGGCAAAGCACAGGGGGATGAGCTGGGTCTGTGAGTGGGTTCACTGTCCCCTCCAGGTCAGCAGAGGGGGATTAAAATGAAGAAGCGAAATCACTGTTTTATCAGCTCTCCCAAAAATAAGCATGGTCAGCTCAGGCTTTAGGAAAATACTCAGTCCCCCAAGACTGTGGTGGCAAAGGTCTCCTGGGAGCTGCAGCTTCCCCTGAGCACCACAGACCTGGCTCAGGCTTCCCAAAGGCAGTCCAGCCTTCCAGGAGGGCTGGAGCCAGAGGCAATTCATCATCGTGCCTCTAACCCTTCTTACTGGCATTGTAACTCAAGGGAATATCAATTTTGAGCAATGGTGAGCAACTTTACTGCAAGACAGTAAAAATTAAAGGTTGTTCCTGTTTTATTTTTGTCATTGACCAGTGGGAGAAACAAACAACAAGTCACCCACCTCCAAGCCCCATCCAGCATCCATGGGGGACAAGGCTGCCTCCCTGCACACTCCTGTGTCCCCAGCACTGAACTCAGGGTGTGCAGAGCAAATCTTCAGCTCCTTCCCACACCCCTCCAGCCCCACTGGCCCCACTCCTCCCAGACACTTCTCTGAAGCATGAATTCAGAGTCCAGGTGCAATTGCTCTGCCTGGCCCTGCAAACCCCTCAGAGCACAGATCCCTGTCCTCTGCCTCCTTCCTCATCTCCTCTGGAGCTGATGGCAGAGCCACCTTCCCCTGCTCCAGCACAGGACACACCGAGGTGGCTGCCCCAGCACCTCCTTCAACCCAACTTCCAATAGAATTTAAAGCTGATTTTGCTTTCTTGAAAGGGGGTGAAATTAATTTGCACCCAATTAATTACTTCTACACCACTTTCTCCACATGCTGAGAGCCAACAGCCATTGTCCCAACCAAGCAATTTCCAGAATGTTCCCAAACATTTCCAGAATGTTCAGTACACACAAAAATCAATCAATCATTTCTCTGTGGATTAACGTCTCTTTCTTTTCCTCCAGAGCTGAGAATGTTCTTTCTCTTAATCTGCACCAAAAAAAAAAAAAAAGGAAAAATTAAACTCTCAGGCTTCAGGAGGCACCTCAGTCTCCTCCCCCACAGCACAAATCTGCTGCAGATAAACCTGTGGATTCCATGGAGGACATTAGCTCCCTGCTGGGCCACTTTCTTGCACTCTGCCACAGAGGTAATTTCCTAATGGAGCGTCTCCCACAGGGTGGAGCTCAGCTCTGCATCCAGCTCCCCCTTTGTCACAGCAGTAATTGCTCTGCTCTGCTCTCCTGTTCCCTGGCATCAGGAAGAACACCTGGATATCAGCTCAGCGCTTCTCTTCCCTCTCCTTTGTGCTGCCTGGGCCCTCTGGCAAGGGGGATACACGGGCAGGGAGAGCAGATAAGGGTGGGTCATTAAGGGCAGGCACACACACCCTCGGGGCCTTAAGGACCTGCTCCTCACAGGAACAGATTCTGCTCCTGGCTGAGCCTCGGGGCGAGCTGCAGCCCTGTTGTTTCTGCATCTTTCCCTTTCCCACCCAGCCCCAGCAAGGCTGCAGGGCAAGGGCTGGGGCTAAGGACAGCTGGCTGCAGCAAACCCACAACGCAAAAGGGAGCAGCAGACACCAGGGCCAGAGGGACCAGAGCAAAGCCTGCAGCCCTGAGAAAGCCTGAGCATTGCTTCCAGGAGCTCTCTGCCTCTTGGAGCCTCCCGATTTTGATATGTGTAGCTCCAGCTGATTAGGATGCAGACAGTGCTGTTCACCTTGAGCAGCTCCCTCCATCCCCACTCACACCCTGGCAGCAGTGCCACCCTTTGCCCCCATGCCTGGACATGCTCCAGGAAGCAAAACAGAGCAGACAAAGCTCAAAGGGGATTTTTACCGAGCTGCTCCCACCCTGTGATGGTGGAAATCAGCCCCAGGTCTCTCCCATCTCTGCTCCCAGCCCTCAGGGTGTGTGGAGCTGATATTTGATCTGGCACGTTCTGCCATGATTTGTGTCCCCTCAGTGTCCACCCACGCTGTGCTCTCTGCATCCCTGCTGCTCTGCTCACCCTCCCAGAGCCCCCTCAGCCTGCACCTTCTGACCAGTGCAAGATGATTTATTCTTAATGCTTCAACAGGCCCTGAAAAAACCGCACAGAGTTGGAGAAGGACAAATTTAAATTAGTCTGGACTCTGGGGCCAGACACTACTGCAAAGGCAGCCACCTAAAAGCTCATAAATTACCCAGCAAGACAGGGACTGACCAGCAGGGGCTAGTAAGGGAATCTGCAGCCAGCCAGGACGAGCACACACCCTGGGACAGATGATCTGCCTGTCCTTGAGTGTCACCTCTGTGTCTGGGGGACAGCTCTGAAAAACCAGCCCTGCCCTGCCCTGCCCTGCAGGTGCTCTCTGGGCACCACTGTGGATGTGCTGCCATGCCAGGGGAGGAGCCTCTGTGGCTGCTGCTGCTGCAAAGGCTTCAGCAGCTCAGCCAGGGGCTCTCAGGGATGATCCCACATCCCTGAGCAGGTGCTTGGCCACCAGGAGTGGTGCTCTAGTCTAAGGAGGGCATTCACCAGCATCCACCCTGCAGCAGGATGCTCTTAGCCCTGCTCATGGGCCTGATCTGCCTCTCCTGACACCCAGAATGCTTCTGGGAATTGCCCAGTCTCTGAAAAACACTGGGAACCAAGTCCCATGCTAAACATCACAGAGTTACTGCTGCACATGGGCAACTCCCTTTCACCCACCCCACCCCAGCCTGGAGAAACCAAGAGCCCTTCAACACACACTGGAGCCACAGGACCTGTGTTAGCAGGGGCCAGGTGGGGCTACTATGGGTCATGGAGCTGAGCCCAGCTCACCTGGGCTCATGGGGACCCAGAAATGAGGGAGCTGCAGACCTGTCCTTTGCAGCCATGATGCCAGCAGGATCCCCTGCTGCTCACCTCACCCTCCTCACCCAGCTCCATTCACTCTCCAGGGCAAAGAGCCCTTGGTTTGGGTTCCATTTCTCCACAAATTGCAATAATTGATGCCTATTTATTTTGTTTTTCAAGGAAAAACTAAGAGGCAGATCTGGAGACAGCAAAGGCCTCAGATGGCCCCACTCGTGTCTGCTGGGTCCCCCTGCATCAAGCACTCACTTCATTTCAGCTCTGAGACACACAGCCCATCCAGGCTTTTCCCTGAGAAAGCTTTCTATTAAGAAATCAGCATCTCTGAAATGTCATAATTAAGTTAATTTCCCCTGTCTCATCACAGCCAGCTGCCCTCACCCCTGTTCTCAGGGACTGAGGCAGTTTTCAAGCAGAACAACAGCTGGCACAGCATCCCCAGGCAGGCTCATGGTTCAGGCACCTCCCCATCACATTTTTCCTCCTAAAGCTTCACCTGGAGGCAGCAGATGAAAAAGTAGGGGCCTGACAGCCCTAAACTACCCAAAACATAGCTTAAAATGCTCTGAAAGGTGTTCTGCCATAGAGAGAGCTGAGCACCCCCAGCATTTTGCCAGGCTCCCAGCAGAGAGCTGCCACAGCAATGAGGAGTGCCCCAGAAATGAGGCAGCATTCCCAGGGAGGGTTGAACTGGAGGAATGGAGCCCTCCAGGTCCCCACTGCTGAGCAGCACAGCAGCATGGTGGAGCAGGGACAAGGAGCTGCACCTTGTCCCTTCCCTGGCTCACCCATGGCTGGCAGAGATTTGGGGCCTCTGTCACACCTGGCTCAGCCCCACCCCCAGGGCCAAAAATGCAAAAATACACCCTCCTTCCCCTTTGCTTTCCTTCCTAAATACAAAGATCTTTGGCAAGTAGCCTTGCAGACTTCAGTTAATAGCTAGGAGGGATCTCAGCAGCCTGGCTTTCCCCAAACCCTCTGTTCAGCTCCTTGTTTCACGTTCATTAAGAAGCAGAACAGGAAATATATGCAGAAGAGAGCAAACAGCAGAAGGAGGAGGGAGGGGAGGCCTCGTCTCTGCTGGCAAGGAGCTCCAGGATGAGCCAGCAGAACAAAGGCACAGACAAGGCAGGTTCCCACAGCAGGCCCTTCAGTGCCCAGGAAATCCTGCCCCTGACAAGAGCCCTTCTCCATCCTCCCCAGTGAGTGCTGCTCAGCACTGGAAGGGACTGACAGTCACATGATGACTGCCTCTATAAATTAATAGTTCCAAATGTTCAATCATTCCAAATACAATAGAGATGTAGGCTGGCTTCTACGTCAGAGGGGGGAAACCTTGAATTTGTGCTTCTATGGGAAATACCGGGAGATTTAAAACTTTTCCCTTGGTGCTGCAGAAAACTCATTCAGGAGGAACAAAAAATTGAGTTTTCCTGATGCCTTCAATTTCCTTGAGTGCTGGTATTAGAGTCTTTTTATTTCCCAGCTCCCTCAAAAAATGAGAAACAATTACTGTCTATAGCACTACCAGTCTTTTTCTGGAAGGTAGCACACCATTTTCCTATGGGCTGTGTAATATGTTAGCCTGGTTATCACTGCCAAAGCACAGAAAGAAAAAAACTTATTGGGGTATACATTACCTACAGTGATAAGGGTGCAGCACAAAGGGTTTTTTTCCATTAATGTATCATTATGATAAAATTTTCCATTAATTTATCATTAAGAGCCCCTAAAACCTGTGTTGACTTATCAGCAACCAACTTCCAACCTACTGGAAACCAGGTGCCACTCAAGGCATGAAGCATCAAAGTTCTAATCTGAGGAGAAAAGCATGTGTTTGTGTTTGAGAAGCTCATCAGCATCCTCCTTGTACAGCCACAATTTGGCAGCTCTTCACCAATCTGTGCACATGGCCGGGGTCAAGAGTTTGATATTGAGTCCAATTCATCCTCACACCTGCTCCTGACCTGAACAGACAGGGCAAGGAGAGAGGAATCCTGGGCAGAGATCACCAGAAGTTGTTACCCATCAACTCAAGGGTCACTGCCTTGGCTCTAACTCTGTGTTGGTCTCATATTCCCAACTCTGTGTTGGGAACATGGGTGGGGAACAGCAGCTCCTACCTCTGCTCTAGCTCAGTTATAACCTCCCCAGCACACTCTTTCCATTTCTGAGTAAAGGGAAATAGAGAAATTGAAAAACCTGGGGTAGGTTGGGTTGGCACCTGTCTTCAGTTTTCAGTTGCAGCTTAAAAACTGTAAAATGAGAGGACACACACAAAAAGATTACATTTCCATAGGAAATTCTAGTGCTAAATCCCTGAGTGCCATTTATCCAGCTGGAAGGTAACAAAGTCAAACAGGGGTGGAGCAGAAGCCAGTATTTTTCATGGTTAGCCATGGCACAGGTCCACCCTGCTCAGGACCCCAGTTTGGGGTCCTGTCCCCAGTTTGATGCTCCAGTGCCAGCCCTGGGCAGGGCCAGCAGGATCCTGCTGTGCACATCCCACCAGAGCTTTGCAGACAGGGAGCAGATTTCTCCCAAGGCTTCTCCTTACACACACCAAGGCTCATGCCTGGGGTAAGAACTCCCTTCCTCTGCTGCACAGGGGCTGCCATTCCCATGCAGCCACATCACCATCATCAGACAAGGGCTTCCAGCTCCTGAGCCTCACTACTCACACACTTACACACACCCACAAACTACTCCAACAATTGCTACCACACTGAGCAGGAACATGAGCTGTCCAGACATGGCACCAGTGTGCTGCAAACCTCCTCTGTGCATCTGCAGACTCCCCAGGGCTAATGGGATCCCCTCTCTGTGCCATAAACTCCTCAGCTGAAAGAGCACAGACAGGCAGCCTGATGAACAGGCTCATCACATCACTCTGCCCTTGGAGCAGAGATCCAACCACTCTTCAGCAACCTCTGGTACCAAAGACCTGATTTTACAGCATCTCCCCCTGCCAAGTTGGAGTTATTCAGGGGAAAGATGCTCTGGAAGCAGTTGGGCTCCTGGCAGGAACAAGACAATCCCATCAGTGTCTGAATACCTGCTAAATGCTTTCCTCTCCTGTTGGAGGATTCAGCCTGTCTTTTCTGTGCTGGCAGCATCCACCTGCACAAGGAATCTGCTCCAAGATGTGGCTAAAATGGAAGCTCCCTCCCTACCATGCAGGGTGCAGAGATCAGAGGGGGGATGCTGGGTTTAACATAATCACAGCCCTAAGAGCTGCACAAACTCATCCTGCACTTACAGGGTGAACAAGGTTCCTGATTCCCAGAACCAGAAGGGTTTGAACCATGTCAGAAGCAGACAGGGACACTCAAAATGCCAACAATGGGCAGGGAGGATGGAGTGGTGCATGCTCTGTGCTGTCCCCCTGCAAAGGTCCCCCCCACCCTCCTGACTTCAGCACAAGGAGCCAGACAAGTTGCCCTCAACTCTGCAGCATCCTCTCACATCTTATTCAAGTCTGCAGGCTCCAAAGGGTTGGAAGACTTACATTTGTGATTTTTTTTTTTTTTTTTCTCCTGTAAAAGTAAAAGGAAGCTTCCCAGCAGGCTCTTTCCTTTGCAACAAGGTTCAGCTTTGGAAAGAGCCAGCTCCCAGATGGAGCAGCACCTGCAAACACAGCTGGGGTGCCGGACACTGCACAGCAAGGAGAGGTCCCGTTAAGGAGCCAGCACACCCTGGCAGTGGAATGCTCCCAGCACATTGCCCTCCCCAGGGACATACAGATCCCTAAAAAGAAAAAAAAAAAAAAAAGAAAAAAGAAAAAAAGAAAAGAAAGACCCATTTTTTGAGCAGATCTGCTCACTCCGTTCCATTCTCTGGGTTAAACTTTAGGAGGCACCAGAGGGCAGCTGAAAACTGGCAGAAACCTTCATCACAGCCTAGGAAGGGGGAAAAAAAAAACCAAACCAACAAATAAAACCAAAACAATAAAACAAATGCCACATCATTACCTCCAAAGCACGTCTCTAACCCCAGGGAGGCGCCTGGCTGCTTCACCCGCAGCAGGGATGGAGGGAGGGAAGGTCTGCCCCGCTCCCAGTTTGCCGGGAGCCTCCCCGGTGTCCTACCTGACGATCACATACATGACGGAGCAGTTGCCCACCAGCCCCACGATGCACACGATGGAGTAGACGACCACGATGGTGATCTTGATGCTGAGCGGCAGGAAACCGTCCCCGGTGCTGTTGTTGAACCAGTTGCTGGGCAGAAAGCTCAGGTTGAGCATGGAGGAGTCGTTCAGCAGCTTCCTCAGGTCGGGGTCTTCAAAAATACGGGCAGGGAAGAGCGGGTCCATCCTGGAGCAGCAGCCTGCGCCAAGGACCTGGGGCAGCGAGAGGCGGCTCTAAAATCTGCTGATCAAACGGGGGGCAGGGGATTGCAGCGAGGCAAGTGCACGGGAAAGGCCGGGGCAGGGTGATTTATTACCGGGGAGAAGGATGATTTACTGCCGCGGAGCGCAGCCCCCGTCCCCGGGAGCGTTTTAATGGGATGCAGCCCCGCGAGCCTGGCGCATCCCGAGCTCGCAGGGATCGCGGGTATCTGCACACCGCAGGGCAGTGCGGGCTGCACACAGCATCCATCCCTCCTTCCCCCAGGGCTGCGTGTCCCCACCTGCCGCTGCCATCCCTGCGGCTCGCTGAGTCCCCCACTCTCGGCTTTGTGCCCCCAGACCTTCCACTGCCGCCCGAGAGGCACCGGGGCTCCGCCACGACCCCAGCGGTTCGTACCACCCAAAACCAGCGAGCAAAAGCCCCAAGTTGGCAACAGAGCCCAGCTGGCTGCTCACCTGCGGCAGGTCCCCTCTAGCGCAGCTCCCGAGCTGGCTCCGCTGCCCGCGGCCGCATCCAGCGCCCCGGGCCGGGGGATGGGGGACGGACAGACGGACAGACGGACAGAGCCGGCGGCTCCGCAGGTGGAGGAGGGGACAGGGCTGCTCTCCAGGCAGGGCTGCTGCCAGCGCAGGGGGCTGCACCCCGGAGCCCACGTTTTTAAGGAAAAGGGAGGGATGAGGGAGAGGGAGGGAGGGAGGACGGAGGGCGGCTGGGCAGAGCCAGGCTGCCGGGCTGCTCCCACTGCGTAAGAGAAAAGCGGGAGGGGGAAGGAGGAAAAGAGGGAGGGGGGGAATGATAAATAACCAAACGCGGCAAAGGGAAGGAGAGCCCACACCTGAGAGCCACGGGCAGCGCCCTCCCCCCGCCCCGGGGAGATGCGGTGGCCTCCCCATCCCACCCCCAGCATCCCCAAAGCCCCCCAGAGCCCCCCTGGCACAGCCCCCCATCTCCAGCCTACCTGGGGCGGGCTCCCAGCAGGAGATGCTGGGGAGAAGGGAAGGATCGGGCAAGGCTGCTGGGGAGCTCGGGATTCGGGAAGCAGATTCCTCCCTCCTCTGCAATTGTGCAACCTGAGCGCTGTTCTAGCGCAGGAGCAGCGGAATGGGGAATCTGACCTAGAAACTGGCAAAAAAAAATACAAGGAGGAATGAGAACTACGAGGAGAAAATTGTTATTATTGAGTATTCTTCTAGCAGCATTAACTAAAGGTGATTTTGGTAAGCCAAGCCATCCTGCGCTTCTCATCTGAGTTAGGTGTTTCAGAAGCTGCAGTGGTAAATTCCTTGCCTGCAGGTGGGGTGATCCACACAGAGCCCACAGGTACCTGCAGTTCCCAGCCTGGCTGTGGGACACTGACCCTGCTAAACTCATTTCCCAGGGGCTGCAGAGCCCCCCAGGTGGGCCAGGGTGCACAAGGACTCTGGGACCCACTCCCAAAGTGGTTTGACTGCTGAGTACCTGAGCCCCCTGCTCCGGTGCCTCTGGCCATCTGCAGTGTTTCCCCAAAGGAGCCATTTCCTGGTATTTTGGGGAAATTTCTCAGTGTTGGGGACACAAGCAGAGACACACACAGATCAGAGCAAATTCAGGGCACTCTTGCCCAAGAGGTGGAGAAAAAGAACATGAGCCCTTGGGCACCAAATGTTTTTTCTCTTCCCAACCCACAGCCAAACACAGAGCTCCTGGGCCCCAGCAGGCAGCCAGGGCTACCCCTTTGTGCTCCAGTTCTCCTTTAATGGATATTTGGGGATATTTAGCACAAAAGCTGCACCTTCTTCACCAGGAACACAGTGCTAAGGTGTGGTGCTGCATGGCAATTTTATTGAAAGCTTCAATAAGAGATCTCAGCTTTAACAGGGACAAGGGAAAAAAGCATGACCCAGAGTTCCAGCCCTCCTGCAGAACAGAACAGTCTCACTGCTTCAAAAAGTGGGGTTTTGTCAGCCCATTAATGAGAGTGTGAAATAAATATTAGACCAGACATTACCTTAATTGTCAGTGGATTGATTTCCAAAGGCTGAAGCAAGGACAGCAGTAAATCAGTGCAAGAGCTCCCAGCTGGACAGCCCAGGAGCTGACGGGAAGAGTGTTTGCAAATTCAGAATTCAGCTCTGCTCCTCTCTGCTGGCTCTCACCCCAACAAGTGCTCTCAGCCCTTCCCACTCTCCTTTATGTTCATGCAGAGCAGCAAATAGAGCAGGTTCACCTATTTTTCTTGTGGTTTTCTTTCTGGCCTGAGAGACGTGTTTCAAAAAGGCTGCTGGAAAAGGGATCAAGAATGCACTTTGAGCTACTGACAGCCAAGATATGTGTCTGGGACAAATATCCTTCCAAAAATTCCCTTCATCCAGCCCTCTTCTTGTTCCTCAGTGTTCATCCCTGCCCTCTTTGCATGGGGAAAAAAGCCCAGGATGGTCATGCTGCACCTCCAGTCCCAGTCCTGCTGCTTCACATGATTTCACTCCAATTATAATTCAATAATGGTGAGATCTGTCCTTCCAGAATATCTCATGGGATCCTAACACATGCTCTGGTCAGGGTCCCTGGGGTGAGAGGAGGACAAGCATCTCGAGAGCATGATTGCCAGATTTCTTCTTCATCAGAAACCTCCTCTCCATTGGGGTCTATGCACCTGGGAAGGAAGGCAACCTAAATTTTGCCAACATTACCCAAAAAGGATTTATCCCAGCCTATTTCTTTGAAGAACAGATCAGCTCTTCAGCTTGAAGGTTTCTCAGCAGACAGCAAGGTAACAAAAGCCAAGAAAAGAACAAGACAAAAAGCCCCCCTTCTTCCAGGGGATGCCCAGGGAGCTTTTGGGGAGGCAGCAGCTCTCACACGCCATTAGGAGATGCTCAATCTACAACAGAGGGTCCAGGGCATCAACATGCAAGTGAAAACACCTTCCAGCAGAGCAGATTGCTCCAAGCCCCATCCAACCTGGCACTGAACACTTCCAGGGATGGGGCAGCCACACACACCTTCACCATTTCTACCTCCAAACTCCTGGAGCATCAGCACAGTCTGCATCAGTTGTGGATGAAAAATCCGTAATTATTTCAAGATAATCCAGTTCAAGTGTCAGTAATTGCATCTTCTGCCATTTCAACCAGTTTAACTTTACAGACATTGTTCCCAAATGTGGAGAACCTTTGCTGATTCTGCAGAAAACACCTCTCAGCCACCTGCATCTCATAATAGCAACAGCCCACAGGGATTCTTTTTTCTTTGCCTTTCCTTTCAGGGGGTGAAGATGTCTGCATGTCAGAGCTGTTTTGTCACCTTTAGCACGGTTTGTCAAACTGTTTAATCAAGGCCATCATGAGCAGAGAATTAACTTTTCAAGATGTAAAATCAATTTTTCATGCAGGGAACGAGCACCTGGGCTGGAGAGGAGCAGGAGAAAGGCTGAGGGGATGTGGAGTGAGCTGGAAAGCAAAGGTTCAAAAATGCAACTGTCACTCCTGGGATGATGGGCACCTGATTAATGGCTTGCCAAAGGCTAATTAGCTAAATTTGGACCACAGCCACTGGTAATGGGTGATATTAGAACATTAATGATGACAAAAATTTAGCCATGATGTATCCCTTCCTAAGGCAGGGGAGTTAGAACGGGATGATCTTTATGGATTTATGGTCAACAGAGCAGCAAGGAAACAAGAAAAAAAATAAATCAAAAGAGATAAAAATATGAAAACATCATTTCTTGAATCCTAAACCCCACATTTCCAGAGCAGCCTCTACAAGGGGATTCAGTGGTACTTCACTGAGAAAGTGGTGATAAATTCTCTTCCTTGCACAGTGCTATAAATCATGAAACAACACAAGACAAGAAAGATTCCACAACTGGATTATCTGCCCTCCATGGCCAGCAGACTCATTCAAAGAATGAGAAATAACATCTATTAAAAAGAAGAGGACATTGGCTTCTTCAATATTTCCAGTAATACATATTCATTGTAGCTTTTGTACTTCCTCAAGTCAGACTCATTTCAGAGATGACAGAAACCTCTGCAGACTCTTCTCTGCATTGCTGAGCATCAGAATGAAAAGAAAACCAGAAAAACTGTTCCCAAGGAGCAGTGATGGGCCTGGGGACAAACCCACTGTGGGAAAGGAATCCCACTGAGTGCAGCATGTGCTGGGGTGTTGCCTAAATCCCAGTCCCAGCAAGGGGAATGGGTCAGTGGGATGTCACAGGCCATGTCCTGCCTTGTTCACAGTCCCCATCTCCCTTCCATGATCATTGAGCTTCTCAGGAGGAGCAGATCTGGGAGAAGATCTCAGGATGCAAATGGCAGGGTGATGGTCCAGCCCCATCAGGGGGGGCTGATCCCAGTGCATCCCATAAACTCTCAGACCCAGCCACAAATACAGCCTGAGACATTCACACAGAGTTTAGGTCCAGCCCAGCAGAGAAAGGCAGCTGAGCTCATCCATCCCCACGTTCCTGAGGGGCAGCATCACCTGCCCAGTGGTGACACTTCTGTGCCCTCACAACCCACCTGAATGCTGGCTGGGCACCTCCCTGCTGATCCCTGAGCCTGCAAGGAGCTGATTTATAGGAACATATTACACAATAAAACAATTTCCTGAAGGATCAGCTGGTTCCCAGGGCCACCAGGCTAACAAGCTTGAGTCAATGGGTTCCTCTTTCTAAAACAGCAGGACAGCAGAACAAGTGTAATTCATGCCCATTTCAAGCATAAATACTGAGGAAATCTCTCCATTTCTCTTCTACCCATCTACGGGGTCCATGATAAGGAGAATAACCAGGATTAGTGCCAGCAGCCACCTGCATTTTAAGAAAACTGTGTGCTACTAGGCCTGATCCTCATTACTTACAACTAATTAGAGCAGACCTTGCTTTCACCAAAAATTAATTTAGAGCAAAATCCCCCAAGCTCCAGCAGGAGAAAGAACAGACAGTGGTACCAACTTCACTGATATCTTATTGTCTGCC